CGGGGCGGCACCCGCGCGGGGGCGGCCGGAGCGGAGCCGGGTTGCTCATTTTTCGCCGAGCTCACCACAAGCGCCTCCCGGCTTTGCCCCGGGCTTGGTCACACGGTTTTGCAGTGTTAGAGCAGACAATGGACCCTATTCGTGTCCCCTTCTGGCCCCTTTCTAGCAGCCCAGCCCAGACACGAGCCGGGCACCAAATTCTGGGGGTGACATCTGTCAGGAACAGAGGCCCATTGATGTCTTGCTCATTTTTCGCCGAGCTCACCACAAGCGCCTCCCGGCTTTGCCCCGGGCTTGGTCACACGGTTTTGCAGTGTTAGAGCAGACAATGGACCCTATTCGTGTCCCCTTCTGGCCCCTTTCTAGCAGCCCAGCCCAGACACGAGCCGGGCACCAAATTCTGGGGGTGACATCTGTCAGGAACAGAGGCCCATTGATGTCTTACGGCCTTGAGGCAGAGCAGACGTGATTGGTGGGTCCTGAAGCAACAAAGAGCCACTGTGATTGGCTACACCTAAGCCCCCGAAGCGCAGCCCCCAGAGAGTGGCCCTGAACAAATTCCCGTGGGAACAAAGGCAGACGGTTTCGGAAAACACTTGCTGCAGGGTGAAACATCTACATTGAAACAATGAACCAGTGAGTAATATTCCAGACTCCCTGACACGCGATCAGTGAGATACAGACCCAAATCCCTTTGGTGTTTGGGGTTTTATGTTGTTTAAAGTTTCCCGGGACTGGCTCCGTGTTTCTCAGAAAAATAAATTAAAAAAGCTAGCGATCAGTACAAAAAAATCACAGTTGTCTGGATAAATATTGGGGGACAGAAAAGAAAAGTGGCTAGCAGAGGGAAACAGAGCTCCTGACAGTAAAATCAGTTTAACGCTGTGATTTGGATTATAAACTTCATCCAGTGCCGGACTGAGGGGTGACAGCACCATGTAGGCACTCATATGTGTGTGGTGGAGTGTCTCTTCCACTTTCATAAACACTCTTGGCTGTGTCTAGACTGGCAAGTTTTCCCGAAAAAGCAGACGCTTTTCCGGAAAAAATTGCCAGCTGTCTACACTGGCCGCTTGAATTTCCGCAAGACCACTGACGATCTCATGTAAGAAATCAGTGCTTCTTGCGGAAATACTATGCTGCTCCCGTTCCGGCAAAAGTCCTTTTGCGCAAAAGGGCCAGTGTAAACAGCTCAGATTTGTTTTGCGCAAAAAAGACCCGATCGCGAAAATGGCGATCGGGGCTTTTTTGCGGAAAAGTGCGTCTAGATTTTACACGGACGCTTTTGCGGAAAAGTGCTTTTGCGGAAAAGCGTCCGTGCCAATCTAGAAGCTCTTTTCTGCAAATGATTTGAACGGAAAAGTTTTCCGTTAGAAGCATTTGCGGAAAATCATGGCAGTCGAGACGTAGCCTTTTATGTTTACACTTAGAGTAACTTATTACTAACTAGCTGGAGTTACCCAGCATTGCCCGGGAAACCGGAGGAACAAAATGTAGAAAAACAGTAGTCTGTTATCTTTTTTTGAATGGTAGAAAAGTTGCACCGATTTTTATAGGGATTAAAATATAGCTCCACGTCATCCCTGGAGGGGGCAGGGTAGCAGGTGGGGAGTGGCCCCAAGTGGAAGGGAGGTTACGCACAGGAAGGGTGCCCCAGCTCCCATCTGGGACTGCAGGTGCTGCGAGGGGTAGGGTGGGTGCCCAAGCCATTGTGCGTGTGGGGGTCAGGGCACTGCCTGCCGGCGCAGAGGGGGTGGGGGGAAAGAGAGTCGCTTATGTAACCTTGCAGGTGGGAGGGGGCAAGTTCTGGCCAGAAGTCGCTTATGTAACCTTGCAGGTGGGAGGGGGCGAGTTCTGGACAGCGCTGGGGGCCGCAGGCAGCGGGCATGGATCCTAGGGTGGGCAGGGTGGCCCCTGCAGTGCGGTGGGTTATTTTTTATTTTTACCGCTGGAGATCGGGACTGATTGGGTCCAAAAGTACCTTAAAACCTCCTCCTGGAGGAAAGGTTACTCCATGCAAAGTTTGGTTGCGGTAGCTCTTACAGTGTCCAAGTTATTAGCGAACAAACTTACAAACATTCTCCTTTATATAGTAGATGTGAACTCACCTACCTAATGTTATGTACTGGATTTTTTTTAACATAATCCGCAGGGCTTAGCGAACCGCAGCGAAAGCCGCTCACCAGCCCTGCACTGCGCATGCACGAGAGCCGCATTGCGCATGCGCACACTGCCGGTAAACGGGGCGCCGGGCTGAAATCTACTGCCATGGGCGAGTAGATTCAATAGATTGTCGAGCCCTAATCCATATTTTCATGTACTGACGAGCAGTGTTCTCTGTAAGCGGACAACCACCTAGGAGAGATTTAAATGCTGCCCAGCTGCTTAGCAGAGCAACCTGGCAGCTGGTGGTGCACATCCACTCATGCTATAGTGCATGGAACAAAATTTATTCCTCACACAGATGGGGAAAAAATCAGAGGGAGAGAGATTTAAGAGGTCCAAAGTTTGGGTGAAAATTGGTTTACCGAAAAAGCGTTTGTAACACCCAGGAATTTTTTGGTAAAACTTAAAACATCATCATCATAAACATTAAAATAAGCATTCGGCCAGGAACTGAGTCAGACAGGCACCTAAAGAAACTCCTTTGCAATATTCTTATTCCAGTAGCAATTGAGTGTTATCTGCTAAGAAAAATACAATTATTTGAGCTACTTTTTCCTTGAGGAGGCGGGTGGTAGTTAATCACCCTTCAAACATATCACGCCTCTCTCTTTCCTTAACAATACTGGCAGCTTGCGCTTGCATAAATGTTTAACAGTCTTGCGAGACTCATTGTATCTACACCCGACAGCCAGTACAGTCACACGCCAACTGCCAGTGGCTGCTTCCTGACGGTTTCCCCACAACCTCCCAGAAGCCGGGGCCTCCAACCGCCTGTTCGGTTGAGCAGGGGCAGGTGCACTGGGGTTTTTGTCAGACCCCCGTTCGTTTTGGAGGGAGCTCATGAGGAGATTCTACCTCAGACGCTCTCCCTCGCCAGCACCTCCTCAGCAGGGCCGCTGTGCGCACAGTGACCCCTCAGCAGCTGTTGTTTGTTTGCTAACAGCCTCATGGATGGGCCACCGGTCCGGGTCGGCCACCTCATCATGCCACTCCCAACCCCCTCGCCTGAATGTATCAAGCTCTGTCTTAAAAGAAGGTTGTTGGGCTTTGTTTCCCCACACTGAGCTCCTCGGCAGCTGTTTCAGAGCGTTGCTGCTCTGGTGGTTAGAAACCGTCGTCTAATTTCATGCCTCCATTTATGGAGGGCCAGTTTATATCTGTCCGTTCCTGTGCGTACCTTGGCCCCTGACTTAAATAACAACCTTCTCTCTCTGCTACTGATCCCTGTCATGGCCATGGCCAGCAGCCTGGTGAATAAGGATTTCACTCTGTCCCCTGTACCTAGCCAGGTATCTGGTCAGCAATTGGCTGGCAGGAGCACTGTATCTAACTCCTATGTAAACGACAGAAAAATATTAGCCCCGCTCCGCTCCACTATTAACATGTTCTGACTTCTTGTGGCAAGGCACTTAAGGGACACCGGTTAGCCTGGTAATTGTCATGTCTGCTCTTACTTTGTTACCAACTGAAGAGAAAGAGGCTGACTGTCAGGACTTTTGGGTTCTGTCTTAGCCCTGGAAGGGGAGTGCGATCTAGTGGTTACAGCAGGGAGCAGAGGGCTCTCTATGAGATCAGAACAGCCAGAGAGGTCCTTCTAGCCCAGTGTCCTGTCTGCCGAGAGTGGCCAAGGCCAGATGCTTCGGAAGACATGAGCAGAAGAGACAGTCGTCAAATGATCCCTCCCCTGCTGTCAATTCCCAGCTTCTGGCAAGCAGAAGCGAAGGACACCCATCCCTGCCCATCCTGGCTAGGAGTCATTGATGGACCGATCCACCTTGAACTTACTTTGTTCTTATTTATTTATTTTATTTATTTATGTAAATATTTTTACCTCGCCTTTCTATTTAAAGTATTCCAGGCGGCTCAAATATTCAAGGCGGCTTCCTGGAATTCTGTGACAGTTTGGGACTTTCCACCATCCCCTGGCAAGGAGTTCCACAGGTTGATTGTAAAGAAATGAATTTGTTTTAAAGCTGCAGCCTACACATTGAGCTTACTTCTTGCGTTATGTGAGTGAGGGAGTAAATCACATTTCCGTGTTCGGTTTTTCCACGCCGCTCGTGATTTTCTAGACCACTAACATATCCCCTGTGACGGCGAGTCGAGGCTCCCCCGATCCTGCAGCCCCATAGCAGCACGAACAGACTCCGCCAGCCAGTAGAATAGGGAGGGTTTATTGCTTCTCCAGGATACAGCACAGCATAGACGTGATGTGGTTATAGGAGTCAGGGCCAGGATGCCTCAGACCCCTTGGGTTAGGGGGCCTATCGCCCCCCCAGACTCTCAGCCCTCAGCTTAGCCTGTTCCCTTTTTGTTTCCCAGCCAGCAACTCCCTCGCTCCCAGATCCTGCCCCCCAGCTAGATGTCCGTCTCCACCTCCCTCCCTTTGTCTCTCCCCCTGGGAAGAGCTTTGCTAACCCCCTGGTGTCTGGGCCAATCCACATGTGGGTGAATCAGTGGGAATCTCACATCCCAGCACAAGGGAACACGGAGTTACAGAGCTGACACCCCACCCCCCGACCCTGAGTCATTTCTTTTCCAAGCTGAAAAGTCCCAGTCCTGTGAACCTCTCCTCATATGGAAACTGTTCCTCATCCCTAATCACGTCTGTTGCCCTTTCTGTCCCTTTTCCAACTCCAGTCTAGCTGGGGAGTTTTTTTGGATGGGACGACCAGTTCTGCATGCAGCGTTCACGATATGGGCGTACCAGTACCATGCCTTTCTATAGAGGCAAGATGGTATTTTCTGTCTTCTCTCTCCCTGTTCCAGCGATTCCCGTCGTTTTCACATGGCCACTGCACGAGAGCAGATGTGTCTAGGGAACTAGCCACAGGGATTCCAAGATCTATTTCTTGAGTGCTTGCAGCTCTTTTAGACTCCGTCATGTTTGTGTGAGTAGTTGGGTTTCTAGTTTCCCACGTGAATTACTTTGCATTTCTCAACCCTGAATTACATAAGAATGGCCGCACTGGGTCAGACCAAAGGTCCATCTAGCTCAGTATCCTGTCTGCGGACAGTGCCAGGTGCCCCAAAGAGGGTGGAGCGAAGACAACGATCAAGTGATTTGTCTCCTGCCATCCATCTCCAGCCTCTGACAAACAAAGGCCAAGGACACCAACTCTATCCCCTAGCTAACAGCCTTTTATGGACCTAACCTCCATGAATCTATCTAGCTCTTTTTTAAACTCTGTGGCTGTGTCTACACTGGCATAAATTTCCGGAAATGCTTAAAATGGAATACTATTCCATTTTCAGTTTTTCCGGAAAAGGAGCGTCTACATTGGCAGGCTGCTTTTCCGGAAAAGCCCTTTTTCCGGAAAAGTGTCTGTGGCCAATGTAGACTCGCTTTTCCGGAAAAGAGCCCTGATCGCCATTTTCGCGATCGGAGCTTTTTTCCGGAAAAGACTACTGGGCTGTCTACACTGGCCCTTTTCCGGAACAGTGTTCCGGAATAAGGACTTATGCCTGAGCGGGAGCAGAATAGTTTTTCCGGAATAGCGGCTGATTTTGTACAGTAGAGCATCGTTGCTTTTCCGGAAATTCAAGGGCCAGTGTAGACAGCTCACAGCTTATTCCGGAAAAGCGGCTGATTTTCCGGAATAAGTGGCCCAGTGTAGACACAGCCTGTGAGAGTCTTAGACCTCACAGCCTCCTCTGGCAAGGAGTTCCACAGGTTGACTCTGCGCTGCGTGAAGAAGAACTTTCTTTTATTAGTTTTAAACCTGCTGCCCGTTAATTTCATTTAGTGTCCTCTAGTTCTTATTCCCTCTGCCCTGGGGCTGCCCAGTCCCCCAGCATTGTGAGATCCCTGTGTCAGCTTTGGACTTTACTATTCTGAGTAATTGTGTAGAGAGGCCACACATTTTTCCATCTCGCTTTTCATCTCCTTTTTCAAGACCGTTTAAAAGTTTAACAGAACTCTTCCCAGTTCAAATCCTAGGAGCACAACGCTCATTGCTACTCCTCCCCTCACCAGCTTTTCAGTGTTTGGCAAGAATCATCTAACGATTTCTTAATTACCGGAATGCCCTGTCTTTCGTTATTCATATTTTGGACTGCCCTTACACAACTATTCAGTTACATGCTTTCTAATCTCCCTCATGGCCGGGGTGGAGGAAGGGCGGAAGACCCCTTATCAGCTCTCTCTGGTGTCTGCGTTTCCTTATATGTTGCAGTTCCCAGTATGTAGCGCCTCCCTTTTCCCTCCCTATCTGATCTCACAGAGAGCACTCCCCCTGCTGTAACCACTAGAGACCACTCCCCTTCCAGAGCTAAGACTGAGCGCAGGGGTCCTGACGGTCAGCCTCTCTCCCTGCAGTTGGTAACAAAGTAAGACCAGACATGACAATTTTAAGGCTACTCAGGGTCCCTAGGGAGACAGAGCTCAGCTGGCCTGCTAAATCCAGGGTTGTGAGTTCAATCCTTGACGGGGACTTTTATGGATCTGGGGCAAATCTGTCGGGGATGGCGCTTGGCCTTGCCACGAGGACAAGGGAGTGGACTTGATGAGGTGCTTTCCAGCTCTATGAGATGGGCATATCTCCCTGCTCGTCATGCGGAGAAGCCGAGGAACCTTGCCCGGGCTTGCTGGATCCCACTCGGATTCCTCTCATTTTTGTTTCTAGGTATCTGAAAGTGAGGGGCTAGGACTCTCCGCAGCACGATGCCCTTTGTGGAACCTCCCTCCCTGCCTGGAAGGATGGTCCCCTCGTTGGGATGCTGCCTGGGACCCGTGTAACCCGCCGTTGAGTCCCTGCGCTGCTCCTGCCGTCTGAGGTGAGTCACCTCGCTCCTGGTCTCCTTTGGTATTTAGGGGACGGTTTCCCACTGAAATCGCTCTGTGCCTCTGTCATGATGATGAGGGTTAGCCAGCAGCCTGGGGATTAAGGGGGTAACTACACCTAGCCAGGTGGAGTGGCCAGTAGGAATGTAGGGGGGACTTTCAAACTGGGACAAAGGAATTTGGGGTTTTTCCTTTCTCCCTTTTGTCTCTCGGGGTGTGTTCTCTGCAGCTACAGAGAGGGACAAGCATGTCTCTCTCTCTCCAAGACACCAGTCTTCATTTTCTGTGAGTAGGGTAAAGTTTCGGTAATTTCGTTAGGCTTTATTGTTTTAAGGGTTGGGTACGGGATCTGAGATCTGGCCCTGCTTAAAAGATGTTTTGGCTTTTCTTTGTAACTGAGTTCTAGGCCCATGGAGTTTCTCCATGGCTGTGTCTACACTGGCATGAATTTCCGGAAATGCTTAAAACGGAATACTATTCCGTTTTCAGTTTTTCCGGAAAAGGAGCGTCTACATTGGCAGGCTGCTTTTCCGGAAAAGCCCTTTTTCCGGAAAAGCATCTGTGGCCAATGTAGACGCGCTTTTCCAGAAAAGAGCCCCGATCGCCATTTTCGCGATCGGGGCTTTTTTCCGGAAAAGACTACTGGGCTGTCTACACTGGCTCTTTTCCGGAACAGTGTTCCGGAATAAGGACTTATGCCCGAGCGAGAGCAGAATAGCTTTTCCGGAATAGCGGCTGATTTTGTACAGTAGAGCATCGTTGCTTTTCCGGAAATTCAAGGGCCAGTGTAGACAGCTCGCAGCTTATTCCGGAAAAGCGGCTGATTTTCCAGAATAAGTGGCCCAGTGTAGACACAGCCAGGCCTGAGTATATTTTGTTACCTTTCCATCTAGTCATTATGCCTGCAACAGGAATATTGTTGTAATAATAAAAGTCTTCTCTTTTCTTTTTATTAACCGGGCATCGGTTACTTGTGTGTCCTGATTTTTATAATAGGGGTGAGATTTCCCAAACGATCTTTCCCCTGATTTCTTTATCGATATTTGGGTGGGTGGCAGCAGAAATTTTATTCCCAAGATCTAGGTTTTTAAGATTTTGGGGGAAGTTTTATACCAAAGCTGGGTAGAGAAGACTTTGCGGTTCACTTGCTGGCCCCCACTTCTGCATTTCTTAGTTTCCCATCTGCAACCCACACACCTCATGGGGGTCACTGTCCCACGGAGCGGAGCTCGACAGCCTGCGCGGAGAGCCAGCTGGCTTTGTAGCACCAGCTGTAGCGGCTCCTCCGAGATCCCAGGTTTGAATCCACCAGGTGGTAGTTTCAGTAGCACCAGCCGACCTGGCAGGGTTACTTGCATTAGAGGATCGTGGTGACTGGACGCTATTGTCGTGACGTGCAGGGGAGATGGGACCTCGGGGGAACCGGCTTACATCAGGTTGTGGCTCTGGACTCGGTGGCTCCTGAGGTCTCTGCCAGACCTGGAATTCGATGATTCTTTGATTCATAGAAACATGGAGCTGGAAGGGACCTTGAGAGGCCGTCAAGTCCAGTCGCCTGCACCAAGGCAGGAGTCAGTAAACCCAGATCCTCCCCGGCAGGCGTTTGTCCAACCTCCCTTTAAAAGCCTCCTTCAAGGTCTGTGCCAGGATGCAACTACCCCCAGTTAGAGAGTTTTTCCTACTAATGAACCTACATCTCCCTGGCTGCCAGTTAACCCCATTGCCACCTGTCCCCCTTCAGTGGCCAAAGAGAACCATCGGTCACCACCTCGTTGTAGCAGCTTTAAAGACGGTTTTCAGGGTTCCTCCCCCTCTGTCTTTTTTTCGGAAGCTTCCAGGTGTTTTCAGCTTTCCCTCCGTGGGATGGGTTTTGCGGCTCCCCTCTGGCCTGTCCAGCTTATCCAGTTCCCCCAGGTTGGATGGGACGGGTTTGTGATGCAAACACAGGAAAGTGAAATAGGTAGACTCCGCCTGTATTTTGCATAATCCGTTACCGGCTCCGCTTCACATCTGCCGTCTTCCTCCCAGCTGGCCGGGCTCTGTGAGTGTCGCAGGGGGGATGAGCCAAACGAGGGGCATTGTCGGGACTTTCTGATTTCTTGTGGGGAGGTTTCCTGGGGACAGCCTGGCGGTGCTTGCAGGGGGAAGGGCTGCATGTCCCTGGCAAGGCACCAGCAAGGTCTCTGGCGTGGTTAAGTAGCTGGCCTGCTAGGACGTGAGAGGCCTCAGGGTGAAAGAGCCGGAAGGGCGCAGAGGAGAAGCTTGTGTCTAGCGATGGGAGTGCGAGAGACCGGAGAGCTGCCGGAGCGGGTAAAGAAACAAGCACGAAGGGCAGCCAAGCTCCGGAGCTGGCTTCCTAGAGAGGCTGGGGAATCCCCGTCACAGGGGGATTTTCAGATCAGGTTGGATACCCACCCGGCAGAGCCGGCCTGGGTGTATTTGGTTCTGCCACGGGGCAGAGGACTGGCCTCTCCAGCTCCCTCTCAGCTCCATGGAGCGTGGTTCTGTGTCCTTAGCTGCCACGTGGGAGAGGGACCGGAGACAGGTGACACCAACCCAGCTCTGCCCTGGGTGGGGTGTGTGTGTGTGTAGAGGACGCTGTCTGTTGCCAGAGCAAACATGTCTGTGTAGTAGACCAAGCAGTGTGTGCGCTAACAACAATCCCTCCCGAGCACACCCTGCCCTCCTCCAGGGACCCAGCGAAAGGGACTGAATTCCCCCCCACCGGTATGGGGGTCATTGTGACGCCCTCTCCTCCTCCCTCTCCCACTTTCTGAAATTGACGTAGGGACGCAAATACCCGTCACTCGAAAATGCTTTGGACCAAATGCCGCATGTCACGTCTCAGTCTTGATGGCCCAATCTGCCGGATGTGTCAGTCTTATTTTGGCCTGCGTATCACTCTTGCGTGTAGAGATATGGGTCAAGAAAGGGTGCCTGGCTGTATATGTGCAAATGAAAGCATCAGGGGTGTTTCCGGACGCCTCCACGCCTGGGTGATCACCTGTAAACATCCTCCTTTGTCCTGGTGATAGAAATGTAGCCGTGTTAGTCTGGTGTAGCTGAAACAAAAGACAGGACTATGCAGCACTTGAAAGACTAACAAGATGGTCTATTAGATGATGAGCTTCCGTGGGCCAGACCCACTTCCTCACATCAAATAGTGGAAGAAAATATATGGTTGTGACTATTTTCTTCCACTATTTGATCTGAGGAAGTGGGTCTGGCCCAGGAAAGCTCATCCCCTAATAAACCATCTTGTTAGTCTTTAAAGTGCTACATTGTCCTGCATTTTGCCCCGGGTTGCAATCACACACACAGGTGTCGTTTGCCCTGTGGGTGCTTCATGCGGCAGCAGCTGTGGGCCTGTTTTTAACCTTGGTTTAGTTTCATTCTATTTCTGTGCTGGGAAAGTCCCCGTAATTAATCCTGGGCAAAGGATTCCATGTTTAATCTCTTCCCAGGGGTGTCCACTGAGGGCTACGCATGCCTCTCGGGGCACAGCCAGGTTTCCGCCGGCCTCAGAGTGGAAGGGGAAGAATCCATTCTGGATAAAATAGCTTCCTAGCTACGACCTTGTCGGTGGACGCCTGTTCCGCCTCCCCCGCTTGTGTGCAGTATCACCCTCCTCTCCCTCACAGGTCACTGCATTTTCTCAGTCCACAAGACCTTGATCACAAGACCAGCTTTGCTCTTGCACTGATATGATCTCAAGGGCATCAGCTGACGCCTGGCACGAGGCTCTGCTCCCAGAATCAGCTGCTCTTTCGTTCAGGGCGGCAGGCGGGGAGGGAGTTGGGGGCTGGGTTGTTTGGAAAATCTGGCCCCAGCGGTGGAGTCGCTTTGTCGGCGGCTGACGCACGCGGCTGTCCCATTCCCTGTGGGATCCCCCCCAGCGCCCTTTCCGTGGGGTGACCCCCGAGTGTGCTAATCCCGGTGGGCAGTGAGCGAGCTGTGGGGCTGCTTTTCCCTCCATCTGTGCAGCATTTGTCTGTACTGACCTGCGCTCGGATCGGCTCTCGGATCCATCACCGTCACTTCGAATTCTCATGCTGCCCTCGAAACTGCTTGTGCGCCTTCCAGTGGGGGAGGAAGGTGAAAAAGGCACATCTGGAGTATTGTGTCCAGGTCTGGGCCCCCCACTACAGAAAGGACGGGGACGTGTTGGAGAGGGTCCAGCAGAGGGCGACCAAAATGATCAGAGGGCTGGAGCACATGACCTGTGAGGAGAGGCTGAGGGATTTGGGTTTGTTTAGTCTGCAGAAGAGAAGAGCGAGGGGGGATTTGAGAGCAGCCTGCAACTCCCTGAAGGGAGGGTCCAAAGAGGATGGAGAGAGGCTGTTCTCAGTAGTGATGGATGGCAGAACAAGGAGCAATGGGCTCAAGTTGCAGTGGGGGAGATCTAAGTTGGAGATTAGGAGAAACTATTTCCCTGGTGGGCTGTTTGTTCCTTCTTGCTCTCCGGAGCTGCCCACCACCCTGTCATTCTCTGACCTCGCCCCGACAAGGCACAGGGTTGGGGTAACCACCCCCCTGACGAGCAATGCAGACAAACAAAAAGAAGGTTTTTTTTTCACACAGCGCACAGTCAACCTGTGGAACTCCTTGCCAGAGGATGTTGCAATGGGGTAACCATCCCCCCAAAGAGCAATGCAGACACTGAACCACTTCAGCTCTGGGGTGGATGTAGTTCTAGGGCACAGCACCCAGGAAACCGACCCCCCAAGTGGGATCAAACACTCCCCCAAATAAATCCGTCTGTCTCCTGTAAACGTTTTATACAAAGAAACCTCATATTGGTGGGCTGTTTGTTCCTTCTTGCTCTCCGGAGCTGCCCACCACCCTGTCATTCTCTGACCTCGCCCCGACAAGGCACAGGGTTGGGGTAACCACCCCCCTGACGAGCAATGCAGACAAACAAAAAGAAGGTTTTTTTTTCACACAGCGCACAGTCAACCTGTGGAACTCCTTGCCAGAGGATGTGAGGATTAGG